ATCAAAATTTTTAAACATGACATTTTATTGTTTTAAAAATAGTAAAATTCTATTTTTTATTTATTTTTCAAAAAACTTTTAACATGTAAATCTCAACAAATAAAATTTTTTGTCCAGTTCATTCATTTGTGATTAATTTAAAAGTTTAATTTCTTGCTATTCCAATTTCAGGCAAAGCTCGTCTAACTTGTAAAGAGGATGGTTTGCAGTTCGAAATCAACACACTATTTCCATTTACCGGACAAATTTTTGCTCGTGATCAAAAACCCGCCGCTGAGTTTGTTTATTTATATATTTCATTATTTCGAGGAATGCAAAATTAGAATTAATCCGAAAATATGTGATGCATAAGAAGTGAATTTTACGTGCCTGTGTGTTATTAAAACTTTGAGAAATGAGCTTCAACATCTGACTGAATTCATCGATTTCCGTTTAATTTTTGAAATTTCACAAATTTAAGTTTGAATTAAAAAAAAAATTTCTATTCATCATTTCGCTCAAACAATTTCCATTTATTTTAGGTGTTATTTCACGTTTCATGAAGCATCTTTAGTCAAAATTACGATGCCGTATGCTGCATGCGGTATGCGAAATAATGGTAATTTTAGTGCTGTTATAAATTTCATATTACATTTTAATATTTAAACATCGACGAATTTCAAAAAAAATATTGGTACTTTTAGATAAGTTACAACTTATTATGTTTAAAGTTTAAAGTTTAATGATTAAAGTTAAATGAACTATTACAATATTTTTCAATTAGTAAATCTAAGAAGTTGCAATAACATTAATTTTATCACATCACAACTCACTAGTACTGAACTACTCAATAATTCATCGAATATATTAAAATTCTCTCTAATCTAAAAGATGAAATTAATCTTGCAGAAGAGCAACGACCAGAAACTCAATATCACATGCAAATTATTGTCATTTTTCAACAAAAAGACAATACAAGCACAATGCAATCATTTTTAACTCAGTGTGTCCATCAAAAAATACAGTATCAGAAGCAAGTAATACCGAAACGTATTGAAGAAGCATTGGAAGAGTAAGTGATCAAATAATCTTAAATATTTCAATTTTTTTTTTTCATCAAAAATTTGATTAATGAAATCTCGTTCAATGCTAGATGTAACACTTTGACCTTTAGTATTGTAAACTTTTTTTTTCCAAAAATACAACCAATTTTGAAACGTAAAAAAAGAAAATAAATGTTGATATTTGAAGAAATTCAGATAATATTACTTCAATCATTTATCCATATCTCTATTGATGTTTTCTTTTTTTTTTCTGTCAATCTTTCATTGATTTGTTACTTTTATTAATCCGTAATAAATGGAACTATTTCCAGTCTTTTTTTTCATTACAGATTACGCTTAATACCGATGAAATTGGAGCATAAGGCACAGATTCCGGAATGCATGATGCGAATAGTTGCAGAAGAAGAACATGGACATGGTAATGATGGTGCTGAAATAGAAATTGTTAATCTTGGTCAACCGATGAGGATCGAATGGAGCTTATCACCTGAATCAGGTTATAAAATTATGTTCATACATAATTCCAGAATTATGGAGTCAAAATTTTCAGGTTTTTAATAATTTAACATTATTTGAAAGTAGATTATCGACCAATGAATCAGTTTGATAATCTACTTTTGAGCATTATCCATGTTTTGATAATTCCATAAATAATTTCGACTAATTTCCTTTCATTTTAAAGTACTGTATATTTTTCGGTAATCATATTTAGTTGCTTAAAATATTTTAAAAATTAATTTTAAGCATAATTTAAAAAAAATCCTTGCTTTCTGTTTATTTGTCAATATTTTTTATTAGCATTTTTTCTTTTTTGAAATTTTAAATTCCCTATGTATAATTATCATGCAAAGTTCATTTAGTTTTCTCGATGTTCAAGTTTAATTATATTATGATGAAGTTAGTACGAGACTTTAATTCGAATAGTTCTAAAAAATACGTAATGCTTAAAGATATTTATCAAATGATTCTGATAAATTATTGCATTATCCATAAAATCTTAATAAAATTTAACTTAAAATAAAAAGTTCCAGATGCTTATGGATTTCATGTACGAAACTGCACGGTACGAGATACGGTTAGTAATGAAGAACATGTGGTGATCGATGAACGAGGGTATATTTGCATAGTCAAACTTTTTTTTTTCGAAAAGTCAAAAGTAAATTTCATATTACTGAGAAAAGTTTTTAAAAAATAAAAAATAAAACTAATGTTGATGACATATCTTTTTCTTGACAATACTATTATTGTTTTTTTTGCATTATAAATTTTAAATAAATAATGCAAAATCTGCACTTATCTTTAAATTCTCTATTTCATCGTTTGTTTCAGTTGTTCAACGGATATCAACATCTTCAGTCATCCACATTACGATACCTATCATGATATAGCTCGAGTTCATTGGCATGCATTCAAAGTGCCAGATATTAATCAGCTAAGAATCAAATGCTTCATAGAAATATGCACCGATATTCCGGATACTATATCCGGTTTAACCAGTTGTGATAGTATTCCATCTGTGGGTTATTTTAACTGTTATCAAAATAATTTTAGCAGTTTTTGCGATAGGATAAGTGCAAAATATGACTACACTATATTTTTGATACGTTTTGAATGTATGAAAATTGAATCATATTGTCATACATTCAAAATCAATATAGTATTAGCAATCAGAATTTTCAATGAAACGCATGTTGATTTAAAAAAAAAATTATTTTAATTAAACAATGTCCATGTTTCGAAATCTTTAAAATTACATTCTGAGAAAATTTTATACATTTATATTGCAGCCACCATTTTGTCCGGATTTGATAACATCACCAACAAATGTCCTTCTGTCCGGTCAGGAAATAGCAGTTATCAGAAAACGACGAGATAATAAATGGTTCCAGCAACACGTCCATGCCGATATTTGTTTCGGTGACAACAAGGATGAGTATTGTAGTTCAGAGAATTATCGTATTGATCATGAACGGTATATCAATATGTTCAAAGATAATTGTACGTTTTAAAAAATTGTTAAATTTAAGATTTTCAATAAAAAGGTTTTCAATAAAAATAATTTAATAAAAATTTCCTTCCTTCTATATAACTATCCATTAAAAATTCCTCCTATAAATGTATCAATATATTGTTTACAGCATCGAAACAATATTGTTTGTCACGTTTATGGTTAAGTATTTGGACGGGTTTATCAGCAGTAACCGTATTATTGGCGATTAGTATACATGGATATTGCCGTTATTTTAGACAAAGACGATATGGATCTATTAAATTAGCAACAAATTCGAAGGTAGAAAATAAGAGCACCAGAACAACAACAATAATAACAGTAAAATGAAAATTTACCGTTATTTTATCATCTCAGATTGATAAGAGCATATCATTACTGTTATCAGTTAAGTTCATTTTCACCTATTTTCTTTCTTTTATCAATATCCATATCAGTTGTCGCATTTTTCGCAGTTACATGAATAATAATCTCTAAATAATACAACAATTTTGATAGCTTTATAAAATTTATTCGTTGTTTCCCATACGAAAAAGAAACAAACTCCAAAAATGCTTTGTGGAATTTTCCGGTTCATCGATAATTTTGCATAACATACAAAATTAAAGAATTAAAGAAAAATTATAAAATTAATTAATTTTCTTTCTTAAGAATTTTCTTAAGAGCTATATATCATCAACAATTATAAATTTAGATATTTTTTTTGGCCTAATTTAGAGTACGATTAACAAAAGTGATCAAGAAAAAAAAAGTGAAACTAAGAAATATAAAAGAGTTAGAATAAAACTTTGCTACCACTTCGAAACTGTTTAGATGGTCTCGTATTAAGTTGTATGTATTTAATTAACATAGGAGAATTAATTGAAAGGCAGGAAAATTCACCTAATGTTCAAGATATTAAAATAAGCACAAGAAATATTTAGTTTTGTTTAAACTTATTCTAAATTAGCTCGCGTTCTTCTTTTTTACTCATATATAAAAATATTAACTATTTCATACGATCTTGGCAGCTGAAAATTTCTTTGCTACAGTATTATGTGCAATTAGCTTTTTATTGTGTAATTTATCCAATCATTTACAATATAATACTTTCATTAATTGTATCGGGACAACTAAAGGGGCAGCATTTTATGTAAAATAAAATAAAACTAAACTGTCCCTAAACTGGAGAAATTTGGTGAAAATTTTTAAATAAAAATTTTAAAGTTGTAATTAACTAATATTTTCATGTTTTTTTTTTGGCAAAAAAGTCACATATTGACTGCTATTGTGAATCTACTGAGGACTATTTAAAATTCATTTGGTCATCTTTTTCCTCCGAGATAGTTGTAGCAAAATTTGAAGAAGTTTCTAATCTTTCTGAGAAGTTAAAAAGATTAGACTCGAAGAAAATTGTGCTGATTATTTTTGTGGTTCTCTCTGTTATTCTAGCATATATCTGTTGTAAATTTTGTATGCTGAGTGCAATATATTTTTGTCAGGAATACCGACAAACTAATTATCCGTATTCCTGACACAAAGTATTATCATTTTCACTATGTGGTGGATAATTTTAGTTCTTTTTCTGTGAACGCAATTTAAACCTTTCGAGAATAAAATGCTGCCATTTCGGGGAGTTACTTGTTCACTACTGAATGACTGTTTATAACGACTTCTTAGAAGTATTTATTATTTTTCAAATTTGACAAATTGACTGTAAAGATCAACCGTAAAATCTTTTGCAGACAATCCGGAATACCATCAACATTACAAACGCAAGTCCCAACTTCATCGCAGCTTCATCAACCATCACTTTGTAATACCCGGTCCACCAGCTTTCGCAAATCTTTCCAAATCTTGTCTCTGCATTATTTCCCACATTACGGGCCGTGACCGAGCCTGTTTTTCTGTTTCCTTCTTCCAACCTGAAAAAAGGATGCAAAATAAAAAAAATGCTATGGTTAATAGGACAATATTCAAACAAATAAAAATAATCCGTCACTAGATTTAATTATCCTTGCTTTTCTATCATTTCTAATTCGAATTCAGAGATATTTTGCTGATAAAATTCAAGATTTCAGCACTACTTTCTTGGCTGACATTGTACCCATTTATAATGGTACAACTAATTAAGTTTATTCAACCTCTGAGTTTAAAAAACTATTGGTAGTTTTGGTTTTCACAAGAACGTCAAAGAAGATTACCAAATGCACGCTTCCATGCTTTTTGGAACACCGCAGAACTTGGTTTCGTTACTTTTATTGGAATGTCAAGAGCATAACGGATTTTGGGCATGCGTAAAATTGCTGTTAACAAAAGATTGAAGAAGTTTGAGGTACACCAGTATATCGAGATGGCCTAGAAGGAAAGCGTAGAACGATGAAGATTGAATGAGGTAAAAAAGTTAAACTTCATTCTTAAATTTTAATATATCTTCATGATATCTAAATTTAATTTTGAGTTGCGCACTCCGCTGCGAAACAAATAATTACTAGAAATTCTCAAAGGCGAAGTAATGGTTTTATTGCCTTTGGCAAATGTTCATTTATTTTTCGTATGAAAGCAATTTTGGCAATTCTGATGTAAAACAGGGAAAATCAAAAAGATTTTTGTGAAGAAATCTAAAAAATGTAGGGAAAAACTTACAACAGGAACTCTTGAGCTAAAAAAGAATACACCAGCTGGTACCACCAGATACTTGAACAATTTAGTGTATTTGCCAGTGGATGCGGTACCGGTTGGATCGTATCCAAGCTGCAAAAACGGCTTTTAAGTTTTCTTCAACTTGATTAATGATTTAAAAAAATTTAAATAAATTGCCTAGAAACTGTAGCTTACAAAAAGTGTACATCCAATGAGAACAGATGAGAGCGCTGGTACAAGAAAATTAGGATCTGTTACTGTTAGATCCAGGAACCATAGTGCACCGCCCGTGCTCCAACCAGGAAAACTATAAAATTTTACAATTATAAAATAACACTGCATTTTTAAGTAATTCAGAGAAAATAAAAAATAAAAGAGTTACTTGTTTTCTACCATAAGAAGAATTTCACGATGTTGGGAAATAAATAAAACTGAATTGAGCACAAAAGAGTAAAACTCATCAAGCTACATCTATTCCAGTTAAAAATTTTCTACCAAATTCTCTAAACGATATAAATGACACTTAATTTCACTTCTCCCGCTAAAAAAAAAATCTGAAATTGCAAAGTTGTTCAGGACTCAAAGTTATCATTTATATCATTTCAACTGAATAAAAATATAAAATGAAGAACCTACTTGTTTTCTGCCATAAGACTAATTCCGCGATATTGGGAAATAAACAAAACTGAATTGAGCGCAAAATAATAATATCTGTTTGAGGATCTTAAATTATAAGTATCTATATAAACATTTTCGTCGTGCGATATTTTCCGATCTAAAATGATAGAATATTCTACACCAATAAATAGAGTGACGACCAAAATCGTTTAAGATCACGGAGTTATTGAAATATCGTAATAAACTATTAACAATTGAAAAAAATCTTCAAAATTCCATTTCTCCAAGTTGCAAATACTTTCACTTTGTATTCTACTTAACATTTTAATTTAGAAAACAAGTGGACATTCTCGAATTACATATCTGTTGAGTTTTCTTTCTTTGACGAAGATGACACAATCATCAAATATTACCTCTAATCAAACATAACTGTTTGGATAAAATTATAACAATTTCTAGAAAATCCAAAAAATGATGAGATTATCTAAACTAGAAAAAAACTAACACAGAGCTTCACTGCGAATTACTTCTCGAGCTTCCTTCTTCTTCTCATTAAACATTTTTAACGTCTCATCGTGCATCATTTTCTTTGGTGCAAATCTTTGCAAGAATAAGGTTGCCCGCAGAAATGCTAACCGTAAACATAACGTAGCTGAAAACAAAAACTGAGAAAATTAGGAAAACAATTATGAGAGCAGAAAGGAATAACACGTTCCTAATCAAAAACATAAGATTATTAAGTTCAGTTCAATTAAAAATGAAACAAAATATCAAATCCTCAAATGCAGGATCCAAAATTTAGAAAAGTCTTAAACTCAAATTCGAATTATTAATTTCCGCTTAAAAATTTATTACCTTAAAACTCCAATCCCTTCTTTTATATCTAATCCATATATGAAATACTTACTACATATGATAGAAGCAAACCAGGATAGATCGAAATAATCGTGGAAAAATTCTAAACCAACTCGATACCACGAAGCGGGTGAATACCACGAAAAAAGCCCAGTACTATCCACAATCGATATACCCTTTAGACCGAGCATATCTAATACATCAATTTTCAGAATCCACTCTTCATAAAAGGAAAAGCCCGAACCAGCTACTGCTTCCGGAGGCATATTTATTATCGGGATATCTGGTATACCCTGAAAAAATCCCACTATAGATGATGGCGGGGATTTTAATGAACTGACAAACAGGCATAAAACTTAAGATCAATTTACTGGTTTTCAGTTAGTGGTGTTAAAGTAAGCTTGTCTAATTCAATATTTCATCAGTCTAATGTTCACTGAAAAGTAATAATTATCAAAATAAAAATCTATATATTTTCAATTTCTTCATGTTTACTTATATGTAAGTTACTCTAACCACCTCTGCTAATTTAATTTAATTCATTGTAAAGTCTCATTTCCAATCGTCTTCGGTCCTTAAATGGACTAAAATTTGAACACTGGTTTGCATCTCTGGTCTTAACAAATTCTTTCATGCAGTAATTGAAAGTACAGATTTAAATCCTAATTTAAAATTGATCAAAAAAGAATTTCTATTTTTTGCTATGAGTTTATCAGCATAATTTCTTTTTAATATTTTATTGCTCATTGAGTTGACTTTTATAGCACATTCGTTTGGTCCAATGCAGCAAAAATTACGAACAGGCAATAACCAATAACCAATTGAAACTATTGTGTAATGTAGAAATCGGTTATTTTGAAAGATTTGCTGGACATTAAAATTTTGCCATTTTGCAAATAAAAATAGAAATCGAATTTCAATCAACTTTAACACACCGCTAGAGAATCCTGTGATGGAACAAAGATATCTTTTGCCGTGGATGCATATCGAAGGCCAACTACGCAATGCTGTAACTGCAAACTGGAACTGCGAACTGTTGCTGCAGAAGCAGCAGTAATTGCAGCGTAAAAACGCTGTACAGTTAGACGAGATCCTCTCAGAGAAAGTGCTGCAGTCATTCCAGTAACAATTTACACAAAACCGATTACTGGAATTTTATACCATGTGAATTGGAAATCTAAAAATCAAATCTTATAATCACTTCTATTTATTGATACACGCTTATAAAGCCTAATAATACCGATCTATAATCGGATTGGTCGCCCTGTAACCTCGATGCTTCACATTTTACATTACTTAGTTAAGTGGAAACATATATTGAATAC